GACGACGACAATGACAATGACGACGACGACGACGATGACAACGAACACGATCACGATCACGATCACGATGTGGACCACAATACCGTTGATGATGATTTGCCAGAAGACGAGGATGAACGAATCAAACACGGTACCAAGATCAAAGAAAATGATTTTCCGGTTATCATGAAGCCTCCGTCTTTTTCGTATCTGACGCCTGGTGGGCACGTGATGTACCTGCCGGAAATGAACGAAACGAAACATCGTGCGCAAAATTTGAGGGGTAAAAAAGCTGGTGCTACCGAGGAACAGAGCGGCTGTCTCGTTGAAATTACGCCTTTCCGATTAAGAACGTCGAAGAATGCCAAACGAAATGGCAATGGTGACGACAATGAAGAGCGAACTGAACAGGCGAACGATCGCGAAGAAGAAGAAGAAGACGAGGAGGACGACGAGGAGGAAAGGGAAGAAGAAGCAGAGGAGGACGATGACGAGCACGAGGACGAAGAAGAGAATAAAGTTGGCAACGTATCGAAACGACGATGCAAAAGTTCGAAAAATCGCATCAACGACTCCAGAGACGTTAACCAGTTTTCGACTTGTGCCGAATCGCGCGAGAATGTCAGCCAGCCGAAGCAAAGGAGAATGTTCTCGCCTTCTTCGAACGACGAGCGAGGGCCCGCGAACCCATGGAATTCCAAGCATCCTTCCAGCTTCGATGCGACCGACGGGGCGAAACCACAACGGAAGAATAATTCAAGGAGCAGAAGGTTCACCTTCCAGTCAACAGTCAGACAGATAGAGAGACGCCGATTAGCTGAAAAACTATCGAGGGAAGTTGAAGCGAAGGAACGCCAAAGGAAGGGTGAGCTCGAGGCGATGCGCAAAGTGGAGGAGGAGTTCCAGCGAAAACGTGCCAAAGAGAAGGCGAATATCAGGCAACAGTTGCGTCTTTTCAAAGAAATGGAGGAGAATTTCAAGTAAGCATGTCCGATTTTGAGATATTTTTGTCGACATTCAGACCTCTTCAATTTTCTTTCAACATCGTTCGGCGAAATAAATATTTCTTTATCAGTTTCTCTTCGTCCGGGTCTTTGCAATTTTGTAAAGTTTCAACGAAATCGACGTATTCATAGTACAACTCCGTATCTCGAGAACATTCGTTGTTGCAGTAGTTTGCCGACTACCGACTGGGATGGTTCGCAGTTGTCCCGCGCTGATCCGGATGGTGCACCCTCATCTACAGCGTCATCACCGACTTCGTTGCCGATCGGCAATTCGTCCACGATCACGCCCAGCAAACGTGACTCGGATTCCACGAAACAGCCTCGCGCCGAGCGGAAAGGGTATCGGCCGAAGTATTACGATTGGTCACCGGAAACTTCCAATCATTTGGACAATCACAGACAAACCACCGTTCATCCAAAGGTCGTTTGCGACATTCCGAAAAGTTCGCCAGTTTTCGTCGACGCGAACGTTCATCCTAACAAGCCACCGGTTACGTCCAACTCCACCCCAAAATCCGACAATTATAGGCAAGTCTTTTTAAATACAATTTTATTTCAATTCAGTAATATCGGTATCGTTTTGTAATATCTGGCGTGTTCGTATTCTTCATATTTTGCTTTTTACGTATTTTAAAAGGCTCCATCTCTGTGCCTGTTGAATGGATGAATAATAAATGTCGTTTTGTTTCTCCCATAGGAAAGATTTCGCGCACGGTACTGTGGCAACCAAAACTTCTTTCGCGAGTAGCGACAGCGAACTCTCGCAACCGAACACCAGGCCACATTCCAGGCAGAATGGAATCAAGAGCAAACCTCTTCGACCTAGGTAGGTTCGAGCACGCGGAACCTCGATTTCTCGGTGAATCGAAAGCGTCAAGAATCGTTTTCCTCGCCATTTGTGTAAAGTCGTGTCGCGTTGATGTAGACCTTGTGATATAGCACGCGATACCTATATGGTATTTACGCTTATGGCTCTCAATGGAACGTACCGGAACGCCTATTTTACCTTTTATACGATGCCCTCTGTTCTTGCTTCGTTCGTATTTCATTCGTGCTCCATTCACGATTGCTAATTGCCGTTGGCTCCTCGATTTTCATTTCGCGCAGATTTCACAGACGAGCATGACATTAGAAATAATCCTAACGCCTCTAGTCATCTAACAACGCTTCGTAAAAGCTAAGTTAATATCGTGCATGGATCCGCGACGCTAAAATTTAGCGAATCGACGACTCGTTTCGAAAGGAGGATGCTCGAACGATCGATCGATACGCGTCGGTTTACATTTTACAATTGAAGAGATTGCTGCAATAGGTGACTCAACTTTCGGAGAATTTTCGTAGATAATTTTTTTAGTGGAAAGTCAAGTACTATTTCAATTTATGCCGATTTGACATTTCTTTTTTTTTTTTTTAAATATAAAAAGTTGAGCTACCTCCTTCCTGCTGCAAATACTTTGGTTGCGATCTCGCGTTTTGAAGCTTGAAAACACTTAGCCAAGGACGACGAATCGTCGAATCGCTCGAAAGATTTTTCCGTCAAACGCTAAGAGATAATTAGAACGAAGACAAACAGCGAACGAACGTTGAGCAGGTCCGGTAGTCCAGTGCGAAGCGTGGGCGCAGCAACATCCGAGGAAGATTTGTCGCTACCGGTAGAACCAACGAAACGTCCAAGGAATCCCACCCACGATTTTATACTAAGCGGAGTACAACCGTTTACGAAACAGAAAACATATAGGCCGATTTCTTTCAATCCTCATTCACCTCCACTCATTCCCAGTTAATTCTCCCTCTCCCTAATTTTCTAATTAACATTTTTCACAGCAAAACGGTATCTTGTAAAATTTATTATTTTATACGTTTATGCGTCTATGATTTTATATTTTATATATTATTATTATTATTATTATTATTATTATTATTATTATTATTATTATATGTATATAACGCGGTGTATATATGTAACATAATCGAATAAAATAATATCTTATTTTGACGTCGTGTTTTCCCGATTTCAAATATGGCGGCAATTGCAGCGTCATGTTCGTTTGAATTCGGCGCGCATGCGCGGAACACTTAGTCGTAACCGCTTGAAGGGTACCTCGTTCTCAGTTCGCTATTCAAATTTCCTTACATTTCTCGTCACGATGGATTATTCTGATGAAATGAAACGATCTAACGACGTGGGTACGAATAATCGTCCACGTATAATCGAGTATCCGTCTAGCATAAGATCTAGAACTACTCGTAGAACGATTACACCATCGAGTGCCCTCATGTATGTATTTACTTATATATTTACTTACATTGTATTTCTCCATTCTCCTTTTCTCTCTCTCTTTCATTCACTTCCCGTTGGCTATCTTCTTTTTACACGTTTTCTCACGTTCTTTCCTCCCAAAGACGCTCCGAATTCGAATCTTTAATATCGGAGAGCAGCGACGAGGACGAAGAAGCACCGGCCAGCAAACTGGCAAGATTATCATTACCGAAAATCGGTAAAGACGCGACCAATCCGAAAGAGGCCGACACAGTTGTTTTCGAAGACATGGACGAGGCACGTCTCGCAGAAATTTTTATCCTCTCTTCCTTTCTCTCCGTTTTTGAAGATGTTGAATCAAACGCATCAGTATAATTAACAATTTGCTGTCGGGAGAGATTACAGTCCGAAGCATACTAACGCTCGACAGTACAACTGTAAAATGTATCGCCGTCCCGGCGGCTGATTGTTATCTCAGTTTTATAGGATGCACGTGTCTCATATGACTTTCTCACAATGATAAATATCTCTTTAATTCATTCTTGCCGGAATTTCTTTTTTCTTTTTTTTTTTTTTTGGTAATTTTTTACTGCATAGAGATGAAACAACGTGCTTTTGTTTTCGAAATCAAGTTCAAAGAGAAACAATTCTCTGTGCATAACTTACTGTTGAAGTTTATTATTGCAGTAGTTGTTTGACGACACAGAAAGACAGAGTTTTTATAAATTTATTGTATTTTAATAAAATTACTAACCTAACCTAACTTTTTTTTTTTTTACGTGGAGGAAATCTTCATAAGACACCTGAGTCTTTTAAAGGAAGACCCAGGTAGTGTCGGATTCTTACCGACTAAAACCTCCCGCACGTTGGAAGAGTTTCGGGACCTTTTTATACACACAGAGCTCTCCCGTGCTGTTGTCCTAAAAGACAATGTCTTTCTTTTTTTTTTTCGCCCGAACAGAGGGC